TTGATTTACCTTTATAATTCAGCAAATACTAGCATACCATAATAATTCAGCAACTAATAGCATACCATAATAATTTAGGAAATATAAGCATACCATAATAATTCAGCAAATATTAGCATACCATAATAATTCAGCAAATATTAGCATACCATAATAATTCAGCAACTACTAGCACACCTTTATAATTCAGCAACTAATACCATAATAATTCAACAAATACTAGCATACCATAATAATTCAGCAAGTACTAGCACACCTTTATAATTCAGCAACTAATACCATAATAATTCAACAAATACTAGCATACCATAATAATTCAGCAAATACTAGCATACCATAATAATTCAGTAAAATTAGCATACCATAATAATTCAGCAACTAATAGCAAACCATAATAATTCAGCAAATACTAGCATACCATAATAATTCAGCAAATACTAGCATACCATAATAATTCAGCAAATATACCATAATAATTCAGCAAATACTTGCATACCATAATAATTCAGCAACTACTAGCATATCTTAATAATTCAGCAACTACTAGCATACCATAATAATTCAGCAACTACTAGCATATCTTAATAATTCAGCAACTAATAGCATACCATAATAATTCAGCAACTAATAGCATACCATAATAATTCAGCAACTACTAGCATACCATAATAATTCAGCAACTACTAGCATACCTTTATAATTCAGCAACTACTAGCATACCATAATAATTCAGCAAATACTAGCATACCATAATAATTCAGCAACTACTAGCATATCTTTATAATTCAGCAACTACTAGCAAACCATAATAATTAAGCAACTACTAGCATATTTTTATAATTCAGCAACTACTAGCAAACCATAATAATTAAGCAACTACTAGCATACCACAATAATTCAGCAACTACTAGCATACCTTTATAATTAAGCAACTACTAGCATATCTTAATAATTCAGCAACTACTAGCATACCATAATAATTCAGCAAATACTAACATTCCATAATAGTTCTGCAAATATTAGCACAGCATAATAATTCGATGCGAATTTATTTTTCTAGATAGCACGAGCTGCAGTAGTATTTAATATTGATGAAATTGTCATATTTGACGAGTCAGGGGCAGGACTAAGGTAAACCTTTTAAAGTTGTATGGTTTTGATTTATGATCAAATTAATGCTAATTTTTGGAGAACTATGTCTCCTTCATATTCCAAGGCTATTAAGGCATCAAGGCAAAAAATGAAAAAAAAAATGAACATTAAAAAAGTTTTGTTTTCAAGATTGAAAATATGATTATGATATCTGCTGAATATATTGCTTATTTGATGTCTATAGTAAAGGTGGTTTCCGTTTGAACTCTACTGAAAGCATAAATTATGAAATACATAACTGATTTTGCCTTATGAAAAAAAGATTTCAATAACTAAACTTTTCTATGTATTATATTATAGTTTGGATGATTTAGAAAATAATTCTGGAAATAATAGAAATAAAAAGGGTTATGGTAATATACAGTTAGCCAGAATTTTACAGTTTTTAGAGTGTCCACAATATTTACGCAAACATTTTTTTCCCATGCATGAAGATCTGAAATTTGCTGGTAAGTTACAAATTTTTTCCTGAAAACAAGTCTTGTAAGTGTTGTGCAATTCAGCTTTAAAAAAATTAATTCTTTCTCCCATTCAACACAAATGAATAAAACTTTATTTGAATTTTCCATCGATGTCAAATGTCATTTCTCCTTAAAGAAATACCACCTCTTAGAATGGTTAAAAAATTTATAGTCTCGAACTTGGTCAATAAGTGTATATATTCATCAGTTGCATTTAGTATGGAGCATGGAAAAAGTGGGACTGGATAATAGAAGCTACAATGCAACTCACTTCAACTTAACTATCCATATGAGTTGTCAAGTTTAATTTGCTTTTTCAGGTCTGTTAAATCCGTTGGATAGTCCCCATCATATGAGAATATCTGATAAGGTAGAATATAGAGAAGGAGTTGTATTAGAGAAAAAACTAAAATCTCAGTCTTGTGTTAATGCTGGATTATATCAAAAGGTATATGAATATTTATTATATACCAGTCAAATTAAAATTAGACCAAACTTTCGTTCCATTTTTAATGACATTTAATATAGTCACTACAGTAAAGGTCTAACAACAGCCCTCTTGAACATTCATTACAAAACTCTTTTGACTTCACCTTTAACCTATCAAATTTCTGTTCTCTCAAGGGCTGGGATTTTGTGAGAGAGTGAAGAAATTTGATTGGTTAAAGCAGATGTTATCGACCGAATTAATTTGACAAACGTTACAGAGGACTGTAGTTAGACCATAACTGAAGTGGCTATATTAAAAAAAAAAAACGAAAGAAAGTTTGGTCTACTTTAAAGTGGGTAGAATTGAAGCTACATATTTGCAGGTCACATAGTATGGACATCAAGTAACACTGGATTTTAATCTGATGATACAATGTAAATTATTGAAGAGAAACCCTAGAGAAGTATCATCTCTGCAGATGATAGTGATTCTCTAGACTCTCTGTTCTATAATTGGCATACATTGAGGTATTTTTGAATTATTTAAAGGGACAAGTGCATGACTTGAGTCTTGAATATATGTAGATAGTCTTCAGAAGTACTAGAAATGTACCAAAATTGATTAATCCCTTTGAAAATATCTCAAACTAGGAATTTTACTCACTATTTCTATATATGTCATTTCTATATATCACAGAGTATCTGAAAATGACGAGTCGTCATTTTAACATTCAAATGCAGATCATTCTAGTCACACATGGATTTTGATTTTGACAGTGAGCTGTGAACACTATTACTGTGACCTAGCTACAAAAAAACTTCTGTTTCTGAGACTAAAGTATACCTGGTTTCTGACAATGAATTAGCTGTTCAGATGGCCCAATAAACCAAAGAATAGACTAAGCTACTATCCTTGCATGATTTCCCCCATTGCCCACTTTGTCAATCAGAAGAAGAATTGTCAGGCCAAACTTACTCTATAATGTTAACTATTTACAGGATGTTTTGGTAGATAAAGATCTAGAAGCTGGTTTAAGAGTAACTGTTGAACTTGATGTTAATTCTTATGGTAAGAGGCATAGTGACGGTGCCAGTTGGGGTACAAGAGAGAGGGGGGGGGGGGGATGGAGGGGGACATAGAAAAATGATTTGAAAAATGATTTGAAAAATGTACAAATCCTTAATATTTTCATTTCTTTATCGCTCTACAATTGATGTATTGAGCACTATATTAAAACTGGTATTTCTATATCACTCTACAATTGATGTATTGAACACTATTTTAACAGTGGTATTTCTATATCACTCTACAATTGATGTATTGAGCACTATTTTAACAGTGGTGTTTTTATATCACTCACTCTACAATTGATGTATTGAGCACTATTTTAACAGTGGTATTTCTATAGCACTCTACAATTGACGCATTGAGCACTATTTTAACAGTGGTATTTCTATATCACTCTACAATTGATGTATTGAGCACTATTTTAACGGTGGTATTTCTATATAACTCTACAATTGATGTATTGAGCACTATTTTAATAGTGGTATTTCTATATCACTCTACAATTGATGTATTGAGCACTATTTTAACAGTGGTATTTCTATATAGCTTTACAATTGTATTGAACATGGATAAAACCTTACTAAGGTTCACAAGGATCCATTATACCAGCTGGAGGAACCATTCCGAGGCACCAGAGCCAGACCTTCAGAAAATATCTATAGGCACACAACTTTCACATTATACGTTCATACTTTACAGATAAAAAAGTAGTTAATGGTAAAGTTGTATCACCATCAACACCAAGAATTAAAAATGGTCTGTATTGGGGTTATAATTTACGTCTAGCTAATAATCTCTCGTCAGTATTAACTCAATGTCCGTATAAAGGCGGTTATGATGTCACTATTGGTACATCAGAAAGAGGGGATTCTATTGATGACTTTGTTCTACCACAATTCAGGTATTTAAGAAAAAAAATTTCCATTAAAAAAATTAATTGTGAACATTTTTTTTATATTGAATTTTTAAAGATAAAACTATTTGATTTGGAATTTTTCTATTTGGAATTTTTGATGATAAAACTTTTAATTTGGAATTTTTGATGATAAAACTTTTAATTTGGAATTTTTGATGATAAAACTTTTGATTTGGAATTTTTGATGATAAAACATTTTGATTTGGAATTTTTGAAGATAAAACTCTTGATTTGGAATTTTTGATGATAAAACATTTTGATTTGGAATGTTTGATTTGGAATTTTTGAAGATAAAACTTTTGAGATGGAATTTATGATGATAAAACTTTTGATTTGGAATTTTTGATGATAAAACTTTTAATTTGGAATTTTTGATGATAAAACTTTTGATTTGGAATTTTTGATGATAAAACATTTTGATTTGGAATTTTTGAAGATAAAACTCTTGATTTGGAATTTTTGATGATAAAACATTTTGATTTGGAATGTTTGATTCGGAATTTTTGAAGATAAAACTTTTGATTTGGAATTTATGATGATAAAACTTTTGATTTGGAATTTATGATGATAAAACTTATCATCCTCATATTAACATTCGAATATGGATTATTCTGGACGCAATGGATTTGATGGCTCAAATTTCAACAATGAGCTGTGAACACTATTACTGATTGGCTTAGCTAAAACATTCTTGTTTCGAGACTAAATTATGATTGTTTACAAGAAATGGCGCATCTGTCCCTTTAAAGTGATCAAACACTTAATTAATAGCGGAATTGCAGGAACTACAGACATCTGACATAAAATAGGAATGATTAATATTGATGCTATTAGTGTTCCCGATACACAAAAAAAATCTAGAAAACCTCTATACAATCCCTTCAATATGTTTCTATTTCAGACATGCTATCATAGTATTTGGTGGAGTTCAAGGTTTAGAAACTAGTTTAGCAGCAGATAAAACATTGTCTGTAGAAGATCCATCCTTACTGTTTCACCATTATCTTAATACATGTCCTAACCAAGGTTCCAGAACTATTAGAACGGAGGTATATTTTATACTGAAACATATGTCACACAGTGTTCGTCTGTCGTTTAATAGACTCGAGTACGAAAGTAGGCCACTGCATGACTGTTATCACAATCTATAATTAACGTACATTAAAATAATAAGTAATAGGCCCGTCACACCGGAAAGGTTGTTCTAACTGTGCTGCTACTGCGACGTATAGTTAGCTCAGAGCATGTTAAGGTCGTGGTGATACAAGCAAATTTTGCAGGGTGACGTCATAATACACTTAGTTTTAGTGGAATTCCAGGAACGATAGACGTCTGATTGAAAATTCGAATGGTGCAAATTGATGCTATTAGTGTCCCCGATACACATACAAAATTTATAATCTTATAATCTTTTTAAGAGAAATTACTCTATTTTTCTGGCAATTGGTATTTTTTTTATTTTGGTATAAACCCCTAAAAAGTTGGAAAGTTGGTTTAATGGATGGAAAGATTTCTATATAGGAAATGACTTCCAAAGCCAGTGACCCCCTTGATCTCAGCTGATCTTTTCCATTTCCTCTATTTTTTTGTATTCCATACTGGAATCCCTGTATTTTATCTTGTAATAATTATTCTTCTTTCAGGAGGCAGTTTTGATAACATTATCATCATTAAGGAATCAACTAGTTACCAATGGTATAAAATATTCACTGTAATATTCTGCAATAAAATGTTCCATCAGTTTCTTACATGATCTTTATACATCCGCATTGTAATGTGAACGTATATTCCCGACGTATATTGTCGTATACGAGGGGTGGCCTGCGAATGCGATAGAAGCCACAGATATTGCAAATGATATCATATACAGAACCAACGCTATATCCGACTGCTGCAGAACACATCTTGCGATTTGCAATAGTGATATTTGCATATTGAACGTATTCACGACGTCTTTGTCCGTCGTTCTGTACGAGGGGTGGCTTGCGAATGCGATAGAAGCCACGGATATTGCAAATGATGTCATCTACAGAACCGACGCTATATCCGACTGCTACAGAACATATCTTGCGATTTGCAATAGTTACATAATATTGCATATTTAACGTATTCCCGACGATTTTTAGTCAGTCCATTCTAGGTATGGCTTGTGAATGCGATAGAAACCACAGATATTGCAAATGATGTCATCTACAGAACCAACGCTATATCCGACTGCTACAGAACATATCTTGCGATTTGCAATAGTTACATAATATTGCATATTTAACGTATTCCCGACGATTTTTAGTCAGTCCATGCTAGGTATGGCTTGTGAATGCGATAGAAACCACAGATATTGCAAATGATGTCATCTACAGAACCAACGCTATATCCGACTGCTACAGAACATACCTTGCGATTTGCAATAGTGACATTTGCGTATTGAATGTATTCCCGACGTCTTTGTACGTCAGTCCGTGCTTGGGATGGCTTGCCAGTGCGATAGAATAAGAAAATCTCAAACGTGTTGGAATTTGTGTACGATTCGACAAATATTGATTTTCAGGGTGATTTACAATGTAATTTATTGGGCAAGTGAGCGTATCTTGATTGACAACCGATTGATATTCTTATCAATGTATTTCAGCGAAACATGAAAGGGGCATTCCGCTTTTTTGTAAAAACGTTCATTATCAAAAATTATACCTGAAAATATTTCTAAAGTACGCTATTTATATCTATTTATAAAAAATTTTCGTGTAGATTTATATCCACAAGATGACGAACAGGTTGAAATTTGTGTACGATTCGACGAATATTGATTTTCAGGGTGATTTACAGGTAATTTTTTCGGTAAGCGAGCGTATCTTGATTCGCAACCGATTGTTATCCTGTCTCATTTCAAATCCTTTTACTGCTCTGTGGGTGAATGGGTTAGACGCTTGCTCGCTTACCTAGCCAATCGATCCTAGCATAGGTCACAGAGTCACAAAGACTAAAGATTTTAGCTTATGAATGACTGTATTCCTAGCGTACAATCCAATCAAATAAACTTCTGCGGTACATGAAAATAGGATAATAATGTCAAGGTATTAGACGCAGGTACGATGATAACATCATCATTCATCAGCATTAAATAATGCCTGTTGAAATATGTAAAAAACGACTTGAGGATCCGTGTGAGATGATTTAGTTCTTAAATGTCATTTTTACTTGTCAAACTAGTTAATCTGCCTCTAGTATTTCCGGGTGGAAGGCCGACGAAATGCATCGAAAGTGAACCTTTGGAACATACTGGTTTGACATATGACAGTGTTTTCAAATTGTATTGGAGTGTAATGAAAAGCTGTAACATGCATTTTTACTAGGCTCCCGGATTCATTCGGCCTTGAAAATCTTGTTAAAGGGGCATTCCATTGTTTTGTTAAAAAAAGTATTCCATTATCAAAAACGTCTTGAATTATACGTGACAATATTTCTAAACTGTGCTATTCATATCTATGTATCCACGTGATCAAACTGAAAGGGTTAATTAATAACGTAGAGTACTAATTGTTAATTAAACATTTCTCTAGATTTTGGTTATAGTTTTCACAAATTTGTGTCCCAAAAAATTAGACCTACAAAAAAAAGCGGAATGCTTCTTTAATATTTCAAAAATGTATCTTGAAATAAGCCTGTTAATAAATCATTCTGTATGTCCGGTTTAAATAGTATAAATACAGGTAAGAAATATGAAGATGCAACACAGAGCAAAAATCTATATTCAACCAAGTAGATACATTTCTGAGGTAAGAAAATTATTTAATTTATACTGACAAACGAATTGATCTGCAACTAGTAGAATAGGAAAGCAATTGGATTTGTAGGCTCATTCCCATATCGCCTCTTCTCATTTCGACTCATCTCAATTCTCCCTTAATTTATTCCCATTTTGACTCTTCCCAATTTACCCCTTATTTATTTTGTCCCTTTCCCACCTTGTCCCTTTTTCATTTCACCCCTGTCATGTTCTTCCCTTATTCCCACTTCGTCTCTTTTCCAGGTCGTCTCTTTCCCAATTCGCCCCTTTCCTTTTATTCACGTATAAAGAGTATGTTGAATACAGAAATAAAATTTGCAATAACAATGTATAAAATTTGACAAGGACGTATGCACCCGTCAAACATATACATATAATTTCAACCTATTAAAGTTAGTACAAATCTTAATTTTGTTTTTAGTGTGGAAGTTTTACTGAAGCAGTGACATTCCAACTTACTCTTTATCAAATTTCTACTGCCCTAGTACCAATAACAAGCATAATTTATTATGTGACCTAAATTTTTAAAAAAGGAATGGGCGATATGGTAAGGGGCGAAATGGAAAGGAACAAAATGAGTAGGGACGACCTGGGAAGGCATATTGGGATGGGGGCGATATGGGAAAGGGGCGAAACGGAGAAGCGGTGAAAAGGGAATAATACAAGGTCGAATTGGGAAGGGCGAAATGACGATGAGAGAAGACACTGGATTTTAAGGACTGCTAGTTACTAGGGAACTCAAACAATATTTATTTTATTTTTCAGGAAAATCAATATGAAATTGTTAATTATCTCCATGGTTTTGACGTGTATGGTAGCATACAGTCATGCAAGTTGGGGTCGGGGAATAACTGGTAATTTCCAGTATAACCCCAACGATGGTTATAGCTGTAGTTATGCGGAATGCCGGCAATCTGGGCCGGGTAACCGAAGGTTTCATGTAATTTGTAAAAAACCAAATCAGCGCACATACGACTGTGTATATGAAGGCAATCCACACAACTGCGCCGCTTACAATAACAATGGTCAAGCTCGATATTACCAAGCTTTGGCAAAAAAGGCCGGCAATCGACGAGCTCATGGCTGTACCTATTGGAAAATATGGGCAGATAACATGTGCACCAATATTCAAATGATCAAAATAAGCGGGTCGGGCAGAAGATTTCGACAACGAAGCAGCTTTTGCAGTGATAACTAGTATGCTGGTAAAAAATGATGAATACATGCCCATGGTCAAGAAATGAAAAAAAGGAGAATTGAATGTAATATTACTAAATACAAAATAAATTTTATGAAATTTGAAACTAGTTTGAGGTATTTTGAAGGAATTATGCGAATTTGGTTCATTTCCAGTAACTCTGAAGACTATTTACATATATTCAAGGCCCAAATCCACCACCGAAAATGTCAAATTAGTCACAAAACACTGTTCTTGATAAGTTTCGAATTGTACCTGGTCGTGCAATATATCATTGTTGATACTCAGACTGGAAACGCCAGTTGAATGTGGTCAAAGGGATCACATTGCCGTGGTATGTAGTCTCAATTGGGATAAAGCAAACGTCTTTAGATTGAGCACGTACGATATATAGACACAGCTTCATAAAACAAAAATCGCTGGTTAAATATTTTTTTCATATTAGGCCATATCAGAAATTATCCGTGTTAGAATTCTGGTCCAGGCCAGTATCGTACTAAGTGGAGTTCCAGGCTTGGTTCCACCTTGTCAGGGAATTACCAATATTGCACTCCAAACAATTTAAAAATGCAGGAAACGTCAAATTGGGAAAGGTCATTGAGAATAAGAGACGAAATGAGAACAGGTGGGATAGGAGTCAAATAACAGAAAAGGAGCAAAATGGAAAAGGGGCGAATAGGGAAGGGGCGGAATGGGAAGAGGTGCAATGAAAATAGATTGAAGCGAATAAAATTAATCATCCTGTTCACCAAAAAATGACGGTATGAAAACTCACAAATGAATCAATAAATCTTTATCATAACATAAAAAATACATCAAATAAATAGAATACATCAAAATTGAACATAATAGCCCTAATCTTCCCTTATAGACGATTAAATGTGGTGTGAGATTGAAAGGCGAGATATAAATGTGGTGTGAGATTGAAAGGCGAGATATAAATGTGGTGTTAGGAAGATGTAAGGATAAAAGCTGGGGTTTAAGTGTGGTGCAAGTAATGTGTAACGTTGGGTATTTAGATTTAAATGTGGTGTTTTAATGTGCGAGGTTGAATGTCGAGGTTAAAGTGTGATGTTATAGATGTAAGGTAGAATGCTGAGGTTTAAATGTGGTGTGAGTAATGTGTTTGGTTGAATGCTAAGGTTTAAACGAGGTGTGAGGTTGGGGTTATATCACGAGGTTTCGAGGTGGTGTGGGGAACTGAGGTTATATTATGAGGTTGAATTGTTGTGCGACGAACTGAGGTTATATTAAGAAGTTTATGTGTGGTGGGAGGAACTGAGGTTATAGTATGAGGTTCAAGTGTGGTGGGGGGACTGAGGTTATATCACGAGGCTTCGAGGTGTTGTGGGGAACTGAGGTTATATTATGAGGTTGAACTGTTGTGCGAGGAACTGAGGTTATATTAAGAAGTTTATGTGTGGTGGGAGGAACTGAGGTTATAGTATGAGGTTCAAGTGTGGTGGGGGGAACTGAGGTTATATCACGAGGCTTCGAGGTGGTGTGGGGCACTGAGGTTATATTATGAGGTTGAATTGTTGTGGGAAGAACTGAGGTTATATCACGGGGTTTCGAGGTGGTGAGAGGATCTGATGTTATATTACGAGGTTGAATTGTTGTGCGAGGAACTGAGGTTATATTAAGAAGTTTATGTGTGATGGGAGGAACTGAGGTTATATTATGAGGTTCCAATGTGGTGGGAAGAACTGAGGTTATATC